GTAAATTAACTTTTTTATAATTAATAAGTATCTTATGGGCAGATACTCTGAGACTATGCAAATATCTTGTTCCCAACAAACTTTCACACAATGGTTTTAGCATTTTTCGGTAATTCTTTTTTTTTTTTTGAGACGGATTTTCGCTGTTTTACCCAGACTGGAGTGCAATGGCACGATCTCGGCTCACTGCAACCTCCGCCTTCTGGGTTCAAGCAATTCTCCTGCCTCAGCCTCCCGAGTAGCTGGGACTACAGGTGCGCACCACCATGCCCAGCTAATTTTTGTATTTTTAGTAGAGATGGGGTTTCACCATGTTGACCAGGATGGTCTCGATCTCTTGACCTCGTGATCCACCCGCCGCGGCCTCCCGAAGTGCTGGGATTATAGGCGTGAGCCACCGTGCCCGGCCTTTTTTTTTCTTTCTTTTGAGACAGGGTCTCACTCTGTTGCCTAGGCTGGAGTACAGTGGCATAATCATGGCTCACTTCAGCCTTGACCCTCTGGGCCCAAGTGATCCTCCCACTTCAGCCCCCTGAGTAGTTGGGACTACAGGCTTGTGCCACCATGCCCGGCTAATTTTTGTATTTTTTGTAGAGATGAGGTTTATCCATGTTGACAGGCTAGTCTCAAACTCCTGGGCTTAAGTGATCCTCCTGCTTTGGCCCCGCAACATGCTGGGATTACTGGCGGAAGCCACCATGTCTGGCCTTTTCTGAGGATTCTTGCCTAAATCTATTATGACTATAATAATTGCAAAATGGTCATTCTGTCATTCCTTCTACATGTATTAGGTGGCATTCTTCTGTAGAGAAAGGTTTTCTCTTCCTGCCCCTTGTTTAATTATTTAGTATCAGTTTGGCTCATTGCAGCCTGTCATCTTGCCTAGAGGTTACCACTCCTAGATTTTCCCAACAGGAAACTGAGGCCCAGAGAAGAGGGCAAGGTCATATAAGTGCCAGTGACTGTGACAAGACCAGAATCAGGGCTCTTGACTCCTGGTCTACTGCTCCTCGTGCTGCACGACATGGCCTGGTACAAACATCAGGGTGGAGAAAAGGCAGGACTAGGCGTCTAGATGAGGCCCCACTAACCAGCCGGGAATCTGTGGCTCTGTGATGTCAGAGGGTTTATAGAGCACACAGCCATTTGTTTCTTTCTTTCTTTTTTCCCAAGATGGTATCTCACACTGTCACCCAGGCTGGAGTGCAACGGTGCAATGTAGGCTCACTGCAACTTTTGCTTCCTGCGTTTAGTAATCCAAGTAGCTAGGATTACAGGAATATGCTAGCATGTCCGGCTAATTTTTATATTTTTTAGTAGAGACAGGGTTTCACCATGTTGGCCAGGCTGGTCTTGAACTCCTGACTTCAGGTGATCCACCCGCCTGGGCCTCCCAAAATGCTGGGATTACAGGCATGAGCCACCACACCCGGCCAGCACTCGGCCATTTCTCCAGTGGGTTTCCATCAGTTCTTGAAACTGTTCTTCAGAACCACTGTGCCTGGGGCAACAGCCACAAGGGAGGTTTGGAGAAGGACCAGGCCCCAGATTTTCATGAGTAACTAGGACAAAATTTGGAAACCATAGATTTCTGGTTCCAGTGTCATTCTGTTACGGTGCTTTACGTCACCACATCTGTTCATGGTGTGTGCACAGATGAACATCTCTGGACATCTCTGAGCTCAGTGAAAGGCTGGACCTGCCTGCCTTAAATCCTCTCTGGACATGGTGACATTCAGGAGAAACACCTACCCAGCAGCCACAAGGAGAAGCAATTTATATCTTTAGTTCTTTGAAAATTCCAAAGGGAGCCGGGTGCAGTGGCTCGTGCCTGTAATCCCAACACTTTGGGATGCTGAGGCGGGTGGATCACCTGAGGTCAGAAGTTCAAGACCAGCCCGGCCAATATGGAGAAACCCCATCTCTACTAAAAAAATTAAAAAATTAGCGGGGCATGGTAGCACATGCCTGTAATCCCAGCTGCTCGGGAGACTGAGGCAGGAGAATTGGATGAACCTGGGAGGCGGAGGTTGTGGTGAGCCAAGATTGCACCATTGCACTCCAGCCTCAGCAAGAGGGAAACTCCGTCTCCAAAAAAAAAAAAAAAAAATTCTAGAGGGAGCCCCATTTACAACACAAGACCCAACTGCTTGGCCATTGTTCCAGGTGCTATGGCTGTGTAACAAATCCCAAAACTTAGCTGCATAAGACAGCATTGCCTTAGGCACAGGGCTCCTGTGAGTCAGGGACTCTTGCAGGACGCAGCGGGACTGGCCTGCCTCTGTAACATTGGGAGCATCAGCTGGGAAGAGCCCAGATCCGGAGGTCACTTGATGGCAGGAGTTGTCTGAGGGCATCTGACTCACAGGTGCGGCAGTTGGTGCTAGCTGTCTGCAGGGATCTCACTAGGGCAGACACCCGAAGAAGGTTCTCATGGGTTTTTCTTGTGGCCTCTCAAAGAGACCTTCAGACACGCAGCCTCTGGGTGAGGGATACAGTGTAGGCATCTTTTGGAAATACAGTCTGCCCCAGCATCCTCCCCGTTGGTCCTGTTCAGGGCCTGTTCATTCCTCACCCCAAGGTGATGGTAATGTCTCTTCATTTTTCTCTATTTCTGCCTGACACCTCCTCAAGATATCTTTTAAAACTCAGCCTACTTGTCTGTAATAGAGAAAAGGGGTGGGGAGTAAGAGAGACAAACTAAACACCTTTTTTTTTTTTTTTTTTTTGAGATGGGCTCTCAACTCTGCCACCCAGGCTGGAGTACAGTGGTGCGATCTTGGCTCACCACAACCTCCACTGCCCTGCTCAAGTGATTCTCCCACCTCAGCCTCCTGAGTAGCTGGGACTACAGGTGCACACCACCACTCCTGGCTAATTTTTTGTAATTTTGGTAGAAATGGGGTTTCATCATGTTGGCCAGGCTGGTCTCAAACTCCTGAGCTCAAGCAGCCTGTCCGCCTTGGCCTCCCAAAGTGCTGGAATTACAGGAATGAGCTGCCATGTCCAGCCTCAAACACCTTTTATTTTTAATTAATTAATTTATTTATTTATTTCTGAGATGAAGTCTCACTGTCACCTGGGCTGGAGTACAATGGTGTGATTTCAGCTCACTGCACCTCCACCTCCCAGGTTCAAGCTATTCTCCTGCCTTAGCCTCCTGAGTAGCTGGGATTACAGGTGCTCACCATCACACCCAGCTAATTTTTTGTATTTTTAGTGGAGACAGGGTTTCATCATATTGGCGAGGCTGATCTCAAACTCCTGCCCTAAAGTGATTCTTCTGCCTTGCCCTCCCAAAGTGCTAGGATTACAGGTGTTAGCCACCACGCCCAGCCCCAAACACCTTTTAATAGGAAAATGGATATACTGTGGTATGTTCACCCAGTGGAATGGGAAATGGCAGTTAGAATGACTGAATTGGACTCCTATGTATCAAAAGAACTGATCTCCAAAACAAAAGTTTGCTGGAAAAATGTATGTTGTGAAAAGAAACAGACAGGAGTGTTTCTAAACACAGAGCTTGGACTCTGGAGCTTGAGGGCCTGGGTTCAAATCCTGCTCTGCCACTTACTAGATGCGTGAACTAGGTGAGTTGCTCTGCGTGCTTGCCTCCATTTTCTCATCCTTAAAATGGGCATAATAACAGAACCTAACACTTTGGGTTGCATTGAGGATCCATGAGTGAATATTTGTGAAGTACTTAGAGCAGTGCCTGTACCTGGTAAGCAATAGGTATTGGCATTCAGTTTAAAATCATGACAAACAATGCCATGTGCCATGATGCATGAATACACACACACACACACACACATATATACATGATGGCACTATAAGGCCACTGCATGGAAATAATAGCACATCAAACTCAGGCTAATGGTTTCCTTCATGGCAGGAGAGAAGGAGATAGAATCAGGAAGGGATAGTTAGGGGACTTCAGTTATATTGCACTTTCTTTTTTTTTTTTGGAGACAGAATCTCCGTTTGTCTCCCAGGCTTGAGTGCAGTGGCGTGATCTCAGCTCACTGCAACCTCTGCCTCCTGAGTTCAAGCGATTCTCCTGCCTTAGCTTCCCAAGTAGCTGTGTGTGCCATCACACCAAGCTAATTTTGTATTTTTAGTAGAGACGTGGTTTCATCATGTTGGCCAGGATGGTCTCGATCTCCTGACTGTGTGATCTGCCCACCTCAGCCTCCCAAACTGCTGGAATTACAGGTGTGAGCCACCGTGCCCAGACTGTACTTTTTTACTTAAAAAAATTGTGAACAATCATGATGGTGTTTGTTTCCTGTGGTGTCTTTTTCAAGCACCTCCTCCCCACATCCAGGCATTCACACCCAGATTTGGTAGATTGGCCCGGTTTCCCCTCCCTCTCCCTGGCATGGTGGTGGAGAATGGGATCGGAATTTGGAGCTGGCAGAGCTGGGTGTGGGTCCTGCTGCTGCCATGTCCTCAGTGAGCAAGGCCATTCCACCTTAGAGCTCTGGGGATGATCCAAGTCACCTTTGGGGGCTGCTCTGAGGATTTCATGAGTGGAGAGCTTTAACTGGGAGGGGCCTGCAAACGTTAGCTCATTCCACTGAGGGCTGCAGGTGTGTCAACTGAGCAAGAACAAGTGAGGCCGAGTGGCTATCGCACCACAGAGAGTAGCCGGGACTGTGGTCTGGGGAGGGCGTGCCCTATCTAAAGAGGTGTCGGCTCCACAGCCCAGCCGGTAGGTGCCAGGAGGCACTCTGGGCTCAGTGACAGCTCAAGGGAAGCCAGCCACCTGGATATTTGTGGGAACATTTCCACGGTTTTTGCTCTGGTCTAACAAAGCACATTTAGGCCGGTAGCACCCATGGCTACCTCTAAGAGATTCCAGAGGGACGCACTGCTGTGTAACCCTCCTCAAGCCCCCCCCCCACCCGCCCCAGCAGCACTTCCCTGGGCGTTGCAGTGCCAAGGTCCTCAGATAATGGCCTTTATCCCCACCCCACCCCACCCCACCCCACCCCCAGCGAAGGGGAGTGGGATTTCTACTGGTGCGACCTCAGCTGGCTCCGGGAGAACTCTGACCACACCTACATGGACGAACACGTTCGGATCAGTCACTTCCGGAACCACTACGAGGTGAGCTGGGCAGGCAGGCGAGGACCGAGCCAACCAACTGGTGTCACTGAGTGTGGCCGTGAGTGGGAGCTGGTTTTCGGGGTACAAGGACCAGAACGGAAAAGTGTGCCGGGTGGGGAGCTTGTGGGCGGGACCTGTGGAGAGCCAAATGGTTTGGGGGTTGGAGTTTCAGCACCAAGATTTGAGAATCAAGCTGCTTTGGGGGTGCAGGGTCTGAAGGGAGACGATGTATGAACAATTATGGTGATTTCAGGGTGGAGGCAGGTTGAGAAGTCTGGGGTCTAAAGATGGGAAGCAGATCTAGGAGAAACAGGACTGGAGGAGGCAGTGGTGGGAGATTTTTAAAGATTAGTGTAGCTTAGTGGTTAAAAGCATGAATTTTGGAGTCAAGACAGGCCCTGGGCAAATCCTGACAGTGTAGCTCCTTCCTTGCTCTAGGCAATTGACTTAACCTTTCTAAGTCCCAGTTTCCTCATCTGTGAAGTGGGGATAATTCTAGACTAGCAGGCTCTTTCTGGGTTAAAGTTGCTCTTACTGTTGCTATTTTGTGGGCCAGATCATGGAGGCTGCAGGGTGGCTGGTGGATGGGTGGGGCTGGGAGGGGAGGGGGGTGGTGAGCAGGAGCTAATGGCTGCCTGCCCTTCCTGCCGCCAAGCTGACCCGAAAGAACTACATGGTGAAGAACCTGAAGCGGTTCCGGAAGCAGCTAGAGCGTGAGGCGGGAAAGCTGGAGGCAGCCAAGTGCGACTTCTTCCCCAAAACCTTTGAGTTGCCGTCGGAGTACCACCTGTTTGTGGAGGAGTTTCGCAAAAACCCAGGAATCACCTGGATCATGAAGCCTGTGAGTGCCCAGTGCCTGGGGCTAGATGGGAGGGAACGAGTCCCAGGTGCCAGAGCAGGGATCAGGTGCAGACCCTGCCTGGGAATTCAGCCTTGGATGCAGTCTGCCTTCTTGAAGGGCCAGCTTTAGCCCTTCTTCTCTGCAGTGTGTGGACCCAGCAGCTGTGACTGCTGGCACACATTAGGTGCTCAATAAGTGCTTACTGAATGCACAAGTGATCTTTAGGATGCCAGGGCAGAGAATCTGGAATCTCTCTTCCTGACATGCCAAATGCTTTACCTGCGTTACCCCAATGCTCATTGTGACGCTTGGGGGAGGGATCAAGCAAGGCCCCATTTTAGCAATGAAGAACTTGAGCCCTGCTTATTCATGCATTCCACAAATACTTACTGAGCACATGCCACGTGCCAGGCACAGACCCAGGCGCTGAAGACACAGCCCTCAGCAAGTCAGCTTGGGGCTCTGCCCTTCTTTCGGGCAGACAGTAAGCAGAGGAGACCTGTGCGGTTGCAGTGTGCTGTTATTTTATTTTTATTATTATTTTTGAGACAGAGTTTTGCTCTTGTTGCCCAGGCTGGAGTGCAGTGGTGCGATGTCAGCTCACTGCAACCTCCGCCTCCTGGGTTCAAGAAATTCTCCTGCCTCAGCCTCCTGAGTAGCTGGGATTACAGATGCCTGCCACCGTGCCCAGCTAATTTTTTGTATTTTTATTAGAGACGGGGTTTCCCCATGTTGGCCAGGCTGGCCTCAAACTCCTGATCTCATGATCTGCCCGCCTCAGCCTCCCTAAGTGCTGGGATTACAGGCGTAAGCCACCAAGCCCAGCCAGTTGGGCTGTCATTAAGGAGAATAATGTCAGCAGAGGGAGCCACAGGAGGCTCTCCCTGGCTGGGCAGGCTTCTCAGAAGTGAGATTGGACTCCCGGCACTTTGAGAGGCTGAGGCAGGCAGATCACCTGAGGTCAGGAGTTCAAGATAAGCCTGGCCAACATGGTGAAACCCCATCTCTACTAAAAATACAAAAATTAGCCAGCCGTGATGGCAGACACCTGCAATCCCAGTTCCTCGGGAGGCTGAGGCAGGAGGCTCACTTGAATCTGGGAGGTGGAGGTTGCAGTGAGCCGAGATCACACCATTGCATTCACACCTGGGGGACAGAGCAAGACTGTCTCAAAAAAAAGAAAAGAAAAGAAAAAGAAACTGAAGGTGAGGGTGACAGTGCACCTACCAATTACTCAGCCTTTTCTGGTGCCATGCCACCGTAGCCTTGAATGGCATCATGAAAGCCCTCTTAGATTTTCCAGGCCCGAGAATGTTCCAGGCCCCAGGGAGGGAGTGGGAGGTAGGAGGGAGCAGCCCTTTCTTGTGGAGCTGAAGACTGGCATCTGGTGTTGGCTGATGCAGATTTAGCCAAAAACACAGGTGCTTGGAGGGAAACTGACTTGAGGCTGACAAAAACAATGGCTGCTCCCAACAGGCATGGAGCCAGGCTGTACCTGGGCCTCCTAGGTTCTTCCCCTGGCCCATCCTGCCTCTCCCATGTCTAGGGAAGGCGCAGTGAGCAAGGCTGTGGCTGGAGCAGCAGGGATTAGGCTGATGAGCTCGGAGTGCTGTGACCCACTGGGCGGATTCCAGCTCCCAGCATTATCCTCTCAGACAAATGGTAATTTGTGCTAATTGGGAACAGCACTTGCATATTAAATTGATTCCATTCCCAGCCCACAGCCTTTGTGAGCAGCAGACACAACGACAGCTACAGCTGTAATTAAGAGGAGGCGTCTTGGCTCTGTGTGTCTCTGTGTGTGTCCTTTCTCCCAAATCGCGGGGCACCCTGTCTGCGGGGTGGAGAGTGGGCGCTTCTGGGCTTCTAGTCATTTCTGGCTTGAGTTGTAATTCTGTGTCCACCGCTCACAAGCTGTATGACCCTGAGCAGGTCACCCGACCCCTGTAAGTACCTCTGGGTTCATTTCTTCACCTGTAAAATGGAATTAATGAGCGTGTCTGCCTTACAGGGTTGTGAGAGAATTCAGGGAAGTTTCATACATTCAGCACATGAATTATACAAGTTATATCAAGGGCTTGGCATTAGGTACCTGATAATTGATCGTTTTCATTGTTATTTCCAAGAGTCTAGGAAACACCTTCTCTTTGCTCTGTCCCCAGGAAAGCACCAGGTCAGTGTTTCTCAAACGCTACGGTGCCCCTGCTATCCAGGGACCCGGTTCAATGCAGAGCCTGATTCACAGATCTGGGCGGGGCCTGGGAACCTGAATTTCTAGCCAGCTCCCAGGACACGCCAGTGCTGCTGGTCTCTGCATACACTTTGAGTTTCAAGATTGTGGAGCAGCAGTTCTCAAACTTGAGGGTGTGGCAGAATCTCCAGAAAAGCTTGTTCAAGCATCCCACCCACCCCAGAGTGTCTGAGTCAGTCCGTCTGGTGAGGGCCTGAGAATTTGCATATAGTAGTCAGGGTTCTCCAGAGAAAGGAAAGTATTAGGGTGTGTGTGTGTGTGTGTGTGTGTGTGTGTGTGTGTGTGTGTGTCTGTGTGTCTGTGTCTGTGTGTCTGTGTGTGTAAGGAATTGGCTCATGCAATTTTGTAAGGGCTGGCAAGTCTGAAATCTGCCGGGCAGGCCAGCAGGATGGAACTTCAGGCAGGATTTCTTTGTTACAGTTTTAAGGCAGAATTGCTTCTTTTTTTTTTTTTGAGATGGAGTTTCACTCTTGTTGCCCAGGCTGGAGTGCAATAGCAAGATCTTGGCTCACCAAAACCCCCGCCTCCCAGATTCAAGCAATTCTCCTGCCTCAGCCTCCCAAGTAGCTGTGATTACAGACATGCACCGGGCAATTTTGTATTTTTAGTAGAGATGGGATTTCTCCATGTTGGTCAGGCTGGTCTCAAACTTCTGACCTCAGGTGATCTGCCCACCTTGGCCTCCCAAAGTGCTGAGATTACAAGTGTGAGCCACTGTGCCCGGCCAGAATTTCTTCTTTTTCAGGAAAACTCAGTTTTTACTCTTAAGCCCTCAGCTGATTAAATGAAGCTCCCGCCTCCTTATCGCACCCACCATGCTGTCAAGGGTGATAACCCAAAATTCATGAGAGCAGGCCAGGTGAATGGCTCATGTCCATAATCCCAGCACTTTGGGAGGCCAAGGTGGGAGGATAGCTTGAGCCCAGGAGCTTGAGACCAGCCTGGGCAAGATAGCAAGACTAGACTCTACAAAAAAATATAAAAATATTAGCTGGGTATGGTGGTGTGTGCCTGTAGTGCCAGTTATGAGGAGTGCTTGGGACTGGGAGGTTGAGGCTGCAGTGAGCTGAGATCATTCCACTGCACTCCAGCCTGGGTGACAGAGCAAGATCCTGTCTCCAAAAAAAATTAATAATTGTAGATGTTAATCACATCTACAAAATACCTTCAGAGCAACATTAGACTAACAGTTGTCTAAGCAACTGGGCGCCATGGCCTCATCAAGTTGACACATAAAACTAACCATCGCTCCAGGTTCTGAGGGTGCTACTGGTCTGAGTACCCCACTTGGAGAACCATTGGGTTTGAGTGTTAATTCTGGGATTTTATTTGGATTCCTTTAAGGAGGAGAGACTGTTAAGAATAGAACATTGCCCTATATTCGGAGAATAGAGGGAGACGACTTCCCCCAGTCCCTCCACTCCACTCTTCCCACAAGGCCTGTCTTTGTGACCTGGTTGATCTTTGCCCACCCACAGGCAAAAGTTTTCGAATAGTTGCTGTGGCCCAGCCAGTCACAGGGCAGCCAGTGGGCGTCTCCTCTACATTGTTTTCCTGTGTCTGCTGAGCCTTCATCTCCCTCATCAGTGGCAGCAGAGCAGCCCAGGACTCAGAAGGGAGCAGGCAGCATCATCCCCTGTATACCACCCTGTGGGGACCCTCTCCCCACCAGGCCAGAGCCCCAGCTCATCTTGGAGCTCTTAGAGGAACATAAGAACAGGGTCAGCTGGCTGCAGTGGCTCACACCTGTAATCCCAGCACTTTGTGAGGCCAAGGTGGGCAGATCACGAGGTCAAGAGATCGAGACCATCCTGGCCAACATGGTGAAATCCCGTCTCTACTAAAAATACCAAAGATTAGCTGGGTGTGGTGGCACGTGCCTGTAGTCCCAGCTACTTGGGAGACTGAGGCAGAAGAATTGCTTGAACCCCAGAGGCGGAGGTTGCAGTGAGCCAAGATCATGTCACTGCACTCCAGCCTGGTGACAGAGTGAGACTCCGTCTGAAAAAAAAAAAAAAAAGAACAGGCTCTTGGGTCTGGCATTTAAAAGTCCAGTGTAAACACTGCATTACTTCTAACTTTTTTTCCATGGAAGCATTCTCCCCTGCCAGCAGTTCAGGCCAGCAGGGTTGGTGAGGAGGTGGGCAGGACACTGACATGGCTCATGGGACCACTGTGGCTCCAGCCTGCCTCTTGGTATGGGCAGGTGGGTGCTTGGCTGTCAGGGACTGGGCCTGTCTGTCAGTACCTCTCTGTGTCCCCCAAGTTGCTGGATGTGCTCGATGATCCTGTTAGAGGCGCAGGCCCCTTCTCTTCCTGTGTCTACCAAGCTGGTCTAACACTTCACACATGGCTGCAAGCATCCTTGGCAACCACGGGGCTGTTCTCAGCCTTGGGGCTACTCAGGAGGCTGAGGTGGGAGGAGTGCTTGAGGTGGGGAAGGCAGAGGTTGCGGTGAGCTGAGATGGCACCACTACACTCCAGCCTGGGTGACAGAGCAAGACCCTGTCTCAAAGAAAAAAGCATAACATAAAAATACTTCCCTCCCAAACCATCAAGTAATAGAGATGCCCCCAGAAGTAACGCTGTTTATCATGTGATTTTGTGTCCCCCCAACACCTTTCAAGAGGTATATGAGCCCCAGGCTTGTGTAGCACAGATTTAACTATCTCGGATTTGTTACCTGTTGGCTGGGTGACCTTGGGCAATGTGCTTAGCCTCTCTGTTCACTGGTTCTTTGGCTGCAAAA